TTAACAGCAACAACACATGCACACACACAGAGGACATACCTGTGTGACGGTGGGTCAGTTAAGGCCTATTTGGGTTTTGATACAGGATACAGCCCTACCAAAGAGCCTGAAAACATTACTGAAGCAGCAGTAACAGCTGTCAGTGTTACAGTAATGAATTCAGCCTAGTTTAGTGTAATACTGCCGGCTTTGTTGTTCAGTCCAGTTATGTAAGAATCTTATGGTTCGGTATGCTGCCTCTGACCATTTAATCTTTAAATTACTTGATTTCTTTCATCACACACGAAATGGAGATTTGAAAAAAAAATATTTTTTTGTTTGTTCGTACTCAGAAAAGTAAAAGTATCAACCAATAAATGAACTGCAAAGGAAAAAGAGATGAGATTTGTTTTCAGCACACACTTTTCAGAGTAACATGGGAAAATATTCTCATTTGCCGCCCAATATGAAACATACACTAAACGCACCTTCACACAGCACAGTGGGAAGGCACAACATGACCCAGCACTGTGGTGTAATCTTAGTCACACGCTGCCTTCAGCAAACAGAGCCAGGAATCCATTCTGTGACCCAGTTCACCTCAGTGTGCTCGTTTCCTGACCCAGTCTGGATGGACAGCCTGTGAGGTGATAGTCTGCTCTAGATCGATTTAATGTAAGCGAGACTGACAAAGGGGAGCTACAGTAAAAGGTTGAAATACACGTTTTCAAGTTAAGACTCCCTGTCAGTGACTAAAAGTTTGTTGTCAGCATTTTGCAGCTGGGATATATCTAACACATGATGTAAAAGGGGAACCTGTTATCTTTGCCATGACTGTGATTTTCTGAACAAGGTTTCGTGATCTTACTCCACACATTTTAGAAGCATTCTGTCTGATGCAACATATCTTGAAATATGGTTGATATATGTGAAAGTGTGCTGTGTGTTTTATTGTGGTTCATATGTTGATGTCTTTATATCCTGTATGTAATGTTGCTATGTTTGCGGACTTTCAACTATTGATTTTAAACATGATGAACTTTAATGTGAGTATAATGTAAACACAATTTGAAAGTAAATAAGATAATGATAATGATAATGATTAATTGCTGTAAACATGTTAAGGAAACTTTAACAGCACAAATGCAAAAAAAGCATTTGTACTCCAAGTTCCTGATTTGCTGCAGCGAGTAGACATAAAAAACAATGAATTGGAGGAGACAAAAAAATGTATATATTTTGGAGAAATAGAAAATAATCTGGCAGATATATTGATAACTATTATGTTTCCATATGTTCCATTAGTTTGGGGAAACTACATTCTTTCACTTTTCTTACTTCCTAATTCCTTGTCTTGCCAGACCTTGTACTAACTTTGCTGTGAATGTCACCACCTGCATTTTTTTCTGGTATAATTTGCTTTAAAGCAAATTACATGGTTACGTAGAGAGGACAGATCTCCAGTTGCAGGGAGTTGTTGTCCGGTTAATTGTAGCATTTGAGCCAACTCATTCAACCACCTCAACCTGTACTTTCTAAAAGAGAGGCTTGCAATCATGTTTCAAGCAAAACAACTGACCTTACAAAACCTGGTGATGTTGATACATATTTCAGACTGTGCAGCGTCATTCTGGTCTCCACACAAAACATTCATCATTTTGAAATAAAAACACACAAATGACCTCCTGAAATGCTGTTATAGGCACATTTAACTTCTCCTACTACCAGTTACAGTTCAGTTAGTTTTCAACTGGCTAATATGTGTTCATGCATGTCAGCTAACTTGAGATAAGAAGATGACAATTTCCTGGTGATTGCTCGGTTAGCTTGCACAATTATTGAGGAAGAAGGGAAGACAAATGGGCCGAGGAAGATCTTGTGCTGAAAGACAAAAAAGGTTCTGCTTTTTGGAACTATATCAGATACATTAGGGAAGATATGGAACAACTGCAGGTATAACACTGTTATAGCTGACGCACGCTTCATTATTTTAATTTTTATCACTGGTCATATCATCGCAATATTAAACAATACTATCACACACTGCAGATACTTCTTATAACGTGTAGACTGCCTGCAACTTTGCATCCAGCAAGCACAACAACAGGGATGTCCACTGGTCCTATACAGCCAATCTTCCACAGCTGCCCCATTGAAGTCCTCTCTGTCAGTCCCCCAACTGCCTTTGTCAATTATCACATTTGATAAGATTATGGTGCTGAATTTTACGCACAGGCAAACCATGAGGTTGGGGTCGCTTCCAATAAACTGGTACTTTGGATAACAGTGCAGACTAAAACCCAAAACCTTCCTACAATGTTAAGATGTTCCGAGTTCAATGTTCCATTTTTGTCTATTATGTGTGTTTTTAAAATGATATCATTCTTGTTTTGGCACAGAAGAGCATTCATGTACACGGTAAGCTACTTAAAATTAAATTCCTTTAACTTAAACGACCAGCTGTCTCTTGTTAGAATTAAAGGCTCATTTGTGATAGTGGGAACAACACGAACTGTGCAAGATTTTGTCATTAAATATAGCTTGTTTTACTTGATATAGAACATGAAATCAATCAAGACAAGTACTAATAATTAACCACTACTGAGGAAGGACTGACACAAACCCTAGTCCTGCTCTCACATACCTGCGTGCAAAAAGACAAAACACAACTTGCAGGTCCTGAGTAGTATGCAAACTGCAGGGACATGCAATGCAAAATACTCAGCATGCAAGAATAGCGATGTGAACATTGCTTGATATGCCTCATTTTTCTCTTATCAGACCAGCTTCACAGGTTTAAGTTTGAGCTACTTGTTTTTAATTAAAGTATTTAACCAAATCCCCACAAAGGCTCTTATTAATGAAATACATTTAACACTGGCCTAAACTGAGCACTTTGACATCTTACAACTGTAAACACACATTACTAAACAATGGGGTCCATTTGAGCATTTTTTGGCCTCGCAGGCAACCACTTGTTTTTCCGACAAAAAGTTGCCTGTTTAAGTTTGACAAAAAGAAGTGAACATTTTTTATGTGTATCCATTGTGTTGAAACAATGGGATCGAGTGCATCTTAACAGAATTTACTGGCTCAAAAAGTCAAATAATGCCTAATGCCTGACTGATGAAAAATATCTTTGGTTTGAGGTGAGAACATAAAGATGATCTTTCCTGGCGCAGTGATTCCTGTTATTAACCTGAACTGTTGTTGCTTTCCATAATTACATTTTTGAGCCGCAGTCTCAAAATAAACCAAAAATAATTTTTACGCTGCTCACAATAACATAAAATTGTCTCTGGTGTTGTGTTTTGTGATAGAGTAGAATAAGAAAGCAGCTTCACTGATGTTATTATTGGATAATACTGTGCAAGGCTGTGGGTGTAGTCTTGCTATGAGCATCTGTGAGAAAGGCAAGGAAGCATATCATATCCCAGAAATCCTGTGATATGGCATGCTATATGGGAACGATTAGGTCCATTCAACAATCATTGAGTATGATTCAGCAAGCATTAGTTATAGCGTGAATTATCATTTTTTTTGCTGCATCATTGTGTGGATAAGTAGTAATGATACAGTATAATGGGTCAATTGGTCAAGGAAGTAGTACCTTGCTCATGTATGGAAGAAGGTCTGTAGTGTGGGATGCTTTTTTCTGCAGTCTTAAAATACGTTTGGTAATCCATGTAATAAATGCCTGAATTTAAATTATAATATTAAAGACTCTGATTCTAAAAAGAAATAATGGTTAAAGGCTTTCAACTTTAAAAAGAGCATATCTTATATTAACATTTTGACTACAGTTAATCTTGGTATCCCAAAAATCAAAGACTGAGACTTTTCACTCAAACTGAAATGATTACAGCGTCGAAATGACTCCACATGGAGGTGGTTGCCGTTAGGTAATGTTATTGCTCGCTTATGACATACGTTGTCAGAATTCTTTTATCTACCATCATGTTCGCCTGTGTTAAACTCATGTGTCATTTAGCATGATAAGTGTTGTCATTAGGTGCATCAGACTGATGCATTTATCTTTAAAATAAACATGTCTCAGAGTCTGAGGTAGAACTAGAATTTACTCTGAAAAAAAGAGAGCATCATATTAATACGGTCAACAACACAGACTCCTATACAACAAAGTGACTGTTGTCAGGGATATGATCTCCAAGTAACATGGCATCCTGCACAATTTTCTCAAATTCATGACCACTGATGCATAAATATTATGAAGATGTCTTCAAGCTGTTTTGTTCTACGATAACCTCGGAAGCCATCTACTGATTTGAACTGGGAGCCAAAACGGTGAAGTTGCTTGCAAGCACATTGGGTAAATAAATCTCAACTCACGACTCCACGTTAGGCAGCATCTTTATCCCATCAACATTAGATGGCGACTTGTACATATTTCTATATACCTGCTTTATATTATGCGTTATAATAGATGCACAAACACACATACTGTACCCGTGCTCAAACACACACACACACCTGCCAAGCAACGTTTCCAGGACGACACCATCATCAGGAGCCAATAAATCCTAATGGCCAAATAAGCTCTGGTGTCCCACTTAAAGCTGCCTGGTAGCGTAGTTTAATTATCAGTCTTACCATTCTGGGTCACATTAAATGAACTGATATTGTAAACTGGCAGCTGGTGACGCACGTCAAGTGTGTTTTTAGAGTCAAAAACCCCCCCAAAAACCTCATATCTGTAAACCTTGGGACATCTGGCCTTCAACACGCACAGATAGGTAACATCTCGTGTGAAATACACGAGGCCTTGTGTGTGACGGTCACGCTCGAACATCAGCAGGCACACCGGCACTTGTGTCCTCCAGCTACGGGAGGCGAGAGCCCTTCTGTTACATCTCTAACCGAGCCCCGGCAGCAAACAACGGCGTACACCGGTGGCATGCACAGAGGTGGATATCCTGCTGCTTCCTGTCGTCAACATAAAGACATTACATTGCTAAGTGTGTCACAAAAGGGGGATTTAGAAGGGCACGTTATGTGCTCACCTGCGTTATGAAGGACAAGACGAAGCCCCACTTCCCTTCTCGGCTGGCGTAATGTGTCTGGCTCGTCCTGTGGTTTGTGTTGCTGCTGAAGTCGGTGCGCCGAGAGGATGAAGGCGGGTGGTGGTAGTGGTGGGGGGGGGTCAGAGAGAGCCGAAGGGTCGCCCGAATAGAACCGGCCGTGCCGAAGAGATGAGTCCCGTCTTCACGCCAGGCTGTCCTGACACAAGCTCTTCCTCGTGAACAGACGGGGTCGGTTTTTAAACACCTACCGTATGCTCTGCCCACGGAGGGATTTCGCCTTTCATAAAACCACGGGGTAGATGTTGGTCACCACGCGTGCGCACAGTCAGCCGTGACGTCAGTGACTACCTCTGCACTCGCGCCGCCTTTGGAATCGTTTCTAAGCCAATCAGACGCTAACATGCCGAGGAAGGGAACCCTGCACGCCCCCTCCCCTCTTTGATGGTCTCAGTGACAGCGCCTTCTACCGTTTTTTTGTTTTTTTTATTTATGACCTTTCTTGCATAAGATGTGCTTTGTATTTTTCCGCCACTGTGTGTATACGGATTGCTAAAATGTTCAATACATTTTTAGAGAATTAAAGTTATGTCCTTCTTCTGGCTTTTCCACTGTGTAATTAGGATCAGTATTCAGCTTCACTGCCATCTAATGGTTGTTTATTTTAACTTTCTTCATTGCCCTACATTCACATTTTTGGTTGTGAGCTCACATAACCCTGTGCACACAGGGTTTGATAACAAGAATAAACCAGGGAATTTTCCCCAATTATGTAGAGTCTGGAGTCAAAGGGATTGCTGGAGAAATCATTGACCCACAACCTAAATTAAATACAATGTAGGCCAATTCCCACTTTCATTCTACCGTCCATCTCAACTCAGTTCATGTTTTTAGTGGAGTGTAATTATGTGCATTTGTGTGGCGTGAGTTATCCACCTGATCATAATGTTACCTAAAAATGTGATGTCACTCCTTTATTATGAAAGCTGTATTGCAATATTTCTTTGGCCACAAGGGGGCAGAGGGACTCAAAAAAGGGGTTAACATCACAAAGCCCTGTTAGTGGCCAGTCGTTATTGGCATGTTATCAAACATAAGCACACTAGGAGCATTAATGTGTCTCACACCTAAACAGGATTTGCAACTTTGGTATCACTGAAAATAAGTTATTGCCACACAGTTCACCAAAATGTATGGACTGCTTAGGTCAAGCCCCCAAGGGTGCTATCATGTTGGGTTTGTTAATCAGTTCTTGCGCCTGATGTTTGCAAATATTACCTCTGCTTACAGGTCTGTTTTTGGGCCTGCCTCAAATTCTTAAAATGAAAATATTTAGATCTTTGGATATAAATGAATTATTTAAGTTAACAACTTGGTTTCAATTTCAGCAAAAAATAAAACCGCCTTTTCTTTTTTTTTTTTTTTGCAACATTTTTATGAAGTGAGAGAAGCCTATTGGCCTTACTGGATCTGAGTAGCAGCTCTGCTCCAAGGATGGGAATCACATCACATTTACAAAAAGCCAGACTGATGGATGCATACCAAAGTCGTAATCCATTTTTAAAAGTCAAGTTTCTTTGTGACCGAACTTTGACCCATATTTTAACTTTTAATCAGCCATGATGGCATTTCCAAAATATGAGATGTTGCACAATAGTTCATCTCGAGTTACATGTACAAAAGATAAAGGTTAGGAGGCCAAAATGTATGAAAACAGAATTAGCCTGTGATGACCTAATGGAACAGTTATAGCTTACAACCTTTTCGTTTTGAAGAATCTGTTGGAAAAGAGATCAATTAAAGGTAATGTTTATATCGTTTTGGGGAACAGCAGTCACGCACACACCTGCAGGAATATGATTTGACATTACAAGTCAGCTGGTAGCCAGTCAGCCGATGAATAAACAGCTGAATTTAGGATATGAATGCAGCAGCTGCGAGTGAACATTAGGGTGCTGTCTTAACTGACACAATAACTCAATTGAAATAATAAAAGGCTAAATGAGTTTAAGGGTTAACAAACATTCAGTTCTTCTTGTCGTACACAGTAAACATTGCGTTGGAAAAACAATACGATGACAACTAAAGATATGCGGTCCACTTTTTGTTCATATACACTTTAACCAAATTTCACAGCTCACATTTGCTGACAAAACATCCTTATTTTAGTGTGTCGCCGTTTACCCACTGATCAACACCAGGCTTGTCACAGTCCCTGTTCGGTCCCCCACAGTTTGCATGTGAATACATGAGGCAAATGCAATGAAGGGACACATTTAAAAAAAAACAAAAAAAAAAGGAACAAGTCGCAGCTGTCGACAGCATCTTTAATTAATCCACATCACAAAGGTCCTACTGTACTGTTCATAATACTGTGGCACTTAGAGTCAGCATGCTCGCAGATACTGAAGAGTCAAAATAAAGCCCTAACGCAGCATAAGAACACACGTTTAACAGTCCTGGTGTTTCTTCACAGTACTATACAGACTTACTTTTTTCCCAATATGACCACTTCAACATAATCTGTCATCTCCTTTATACAAAATAAAAATAAAATATTGATAATACATTACAATTTTGTGTAGAACTGCTACATAACAAGAAGTTTAACAGAGATTTGTAACACAAATATTCAGTTCTGGTCCTATTTCATCACCCAGTGCAGCACAGATGAGAACAATACAACGTAGGATATAGAACTATTAACTATACATATATACATACACACTGTTTCCATGTGTGTGTATCAGGTGTAGGTATCTACAGTGCCTTTACCTTGGGCGCATATTATACATAGTCATAAAACTGTAGTGCAAGCTAATTCCACATCACATATCTGGTGACAAACATGCTTTTTCATTTCTATTTTTTTGTGTTGCTGCGGTTTTATTTTGTGCTGCTCTTTCTTTCTTTAATTTATTCAGTTGTACACACTCTTAAAGAAACAGCAGGTTGGTGTGTGTGGGGGTGTGTGTGTGAGAGTGTGTCTTACTGTTGAGGTCAGTGTATTACCATAAGCTTGTTTTTTCCTTATTGATTTTTTTTTTTTAATCTGAGAATGAAAACACAAGGAGCTCCTTTGTGTCTTCCTGTTGGTTGGACACACAACAACACATCATGTGGATATTTGGGAATTTACACTGGAAGCTCTTTGTCTGTCTGCAACAGTCATTTTTATCCCAAAAGCAACATTCAGCTAAAAGAGTGCAGCAGTCCGAATAGAATAAAATGTCTTGTTTCTGTATCTTTACAGTGGCTACATTATGTGCAGGGATGTCAGTGTGGAGTGTGAGGTGTGGTGTGTGGGGTGCAGTGTTCACGTGTGTTCATTTGAGCCAATGGGGAAAAAAACCTGAGAGCATCTTCATTGGTTATATCACGTTCTCAAACAGCTGCATGGAATTCATGATGTTCTCGTCCTGGGGAAATCAAGATAAAGAAAAGCATTTGTCAGCAGAAGTGACCAAAAATATCGGGTTAAGCTTTTAAAATGTCCGTTTTTAAAATCAAATTGAAAATGTGACAAACTCAATGAACATTTTTGAATATGAATCAGCTAATATGCCCTGTTGTTTATTTACTGGTATGTGGTTTTCTGTTTTCTCTGTATTCATTTCTATCGCTATGTTTACTTTTTTTTCACCCAAAGTATTTTTTTATGAGCCTTGTCACTCTATCAATATTCTTATTCTCTGATTAATAATGTTGTTGGTTTCCACATTTAAAAATACAAATACACATTTTGTAGTTTGTATTTCATTTAATATTCTTCTCTCATTTTTCTCTATTTATCAACTTGGCACTGTCAAAAGTTCTGTAAATTGACAAAATTGTGAATATAATGCATGCTTACAAATCCACAATTTAGTGGGCACACATTTTCAAAATTCTGCATTATTCTCACTGAAACTTTCGTATTTTAAGAGTAACTTAACCCAAGATTTTCAGCCGAAAAAAAGTGGCCTGGCCGTTTATTTACTCTTAAAGTTTTGTCAGTTCTCCTTAAAGAGTAACTAAATCCATGATCTCTACTGCTTGGCCCGTTTGGGGCTGCACAGAGAGTAGGTTAATCCTTTTTAAAAGTATTTGTCTTTCATGAGGAATGTTAGAACAGCTGCAAGTTGCACTGTTTCCCAATGTTTGAGTGTCAGGTAAACCTCAAACGCAATGCTTACTCATCATGTGTTAACCCGGATGTGAGTCAGAGCACCAAAGGTGTTTGCAGAACAACCAGGCACAACATAAGTGAGCTCATATTGTTTATTTTCTCATATTCGAATGAAGTCATAGAAAACATAGTGGCTGAACAACTACAACAGAAGCCCCAAAGTCAAGACAGTGATTTTCCCCCAACACATGTTGACCCCACATGAAGACTTCCACTGTGGCCCATAAATGTCTGTGTAAACATGTTTTTTGTTTTTCAGCTAACGTCTGGCAGAAACATGTGCCCGTTAAAGTTATGAATTACATCAGGTTCTTCTCAAAGGTCAGACTTACTTATCTGATCTTAAAGTAGAAAATAACAGCTGAAGATTTTTCAACCAGCTCCGCCTTGTACTGGATAGTGTCACGTTTGCTCTGGGAACGGGAGGTTTGGTTTTACTCAACTGTGAAGCGCAGAGGAATGCTCAGAATTTTAAATTGTTTTGAAATTCAGTCTGTATCTCAATACAGATATCTGGGATTTGTGATTGATGATTCTCTCTCTTTTAAGCCTCACATTCAACAATTGGTAAAAAAAAAAAAAAAAAAACTCAAGTTAAAATTAGGATTTTATATTAGAAATAAGTCTTGCTTTTCATTTAAGGCCAAAAAAACACTTGTTGCTGCCACTTTTATGTCGGTGCTAGACATTGGCGATGCTCTTTACATAGCACTGAGGTTTACCACCAATCTAAAAGCCTTTACTCACCACTGCTCCTTGTATGCTCAGGTTGTTTGGTCTGCCTTGTCTGCACGTAGACTAAATCACCGGTATATTTTTATTTATAAGGGTATTCTCGCTCTGCTTCCATCCTACCTACAGAGCTACATACTTCAAAAAAGTAATGGAAGTTATCATCTTCGCTCGCAGGATTTACACCTTCTAACCATCCTGAAGCCCGTACTGAATTAGGAAAAAGGGCGTTCAAGTATGCTGCTCCCTCTTCTTGGAATCGGTTGCAAGATACTTTAAATCTTCGGGAGCTGGTTTCCTTGAATGTTATTAAAGGTCGTCTTAATGATCTAGAGGCAGAAATATCTGACTGTAGATGTTTTAGCTAACTCGTATTGCCCTTTTTTGATCGCTTTGTTGCTGATGACTTATGAAAGATTCTGATGAATGGTACTTTTTGTGATTCCTGTATTTATGTTTATTGTTGTTAAGTGTTTTATATCTGAAACCCTGTAACTGTGCTGCTGCCTGTCTTGGCCAGGACGCTCTTGTAAAAGAGATTTTTAATCCCAATGAGACTTTTTCCTGGTTAAATAAAGGTTAAATCCCATTAATCACATTGTGCTTGAGCTTGACAAGTACCATATCAATAAATTATAAATATTTATTATGATTATTACAGCATCTCCTCCAATAATGGAAAAGTCAAAAGTAGCAGGAGTATGTTTTACAACCTCACCAAAGCTTGTTCTGTTGTGTTGTCCTGACATTATCTAAGCTGTGTGTGTCTGTAATGATTGAATGAACATAAAGTGTTATAAATGAAATTAGTTTAATGTTTGAAAATCACTGGTTGGATAGTGTTTGTGCGATCATGCCATTAAGAGGAATGGTATGAAATGAAGAAGGAGATACATTTACCTCTAAAAGTTATTAAGAGACAAAAAAGTAATGTTAAGAAGTAGAGTTCGGGTCTGGACGTGATCGGGAGGATGAACGGAACGTGTGTGTTACCATATTTGACAATGAGAGTCAGAGCCTGATTAAACTCTGGCACCATGTTGTCACTGACTCTGAACCCTGACCCGTTGTTCTTTATTAGTGTTGCGCAGGCACTAAGATTAGATTTGTTGCAGTCTGTAGGTGGGATACAGGTTAAAAAAGTCACCTTCTGACAGGTCTCAATGAACTCTTCAATGGTCACCACGCCGTCTCTGTTTTTATCCATTTTCTATAAAAGCATAAACCAAGCATATAGAAACAACAAATTACTGAGATCATTTAAAGTGGTGTGTTATGTTGTTAGCAAGTTAAAGATGTGTAGTGCAGTGTGTTTTTAAACATAAAGTATGCATTAACAACCTGGAAGAACTTGTCGACATGTTCATAGGGGGCTTCGTCTCGCACACACGGGTACGTGTAACTCCCCATCATGTCGTAGATGGACTTCATGATGGCCAGCATCTCCTGAAGACAAGAAAGACAAGTGGATTAACTTCGGCACTCGGCCTGCAGCCTTGTGCATACGATTACAACAAAGCAGCTATTCTGTATCATGGAACGCCTCTCGTCCAGCCCGATTACTCACTCGATACTAAATGAGTCTTGGAAAAGGAGAATTGAGAAATAGAAAAAAGACGTGTGCCTGTATTGAGTTAACTTATCTATGACAAACCTCTTTGGTGATGTAGCCGTCCCTATTAATGTCGTAGAGGTTAAAGGCCCAGTTGAGCTTCTCAGTGACTGAACCTCTGAGCAACACTGACAGGCCGATGACAAAGTCCTCAAAGCGGATCGACCCGTTTCTGTCGATGTCGAATGCGTTGAACAGGAAGTGAGCGTAGGTGGTTGCATCTGTAGACAAAAAGAGTCAGAACCAGAGTAGAAAATGATTAGAGTGGGACGGTTGTATTCAAACTATAAACAAAAAAAAGGTTGATTAGGGGTTACTGTTGTCTTCTGGAGTCAGACGTGTAAGAAAATAATTCTTTCTGATCAAGTAGCATAAGTTACTTTACTCAAGCTCAATTTGAGGTGTATGTTCTTAACTTTGGTATTTAATATTAAATGATCGGCCTCAACAGCTTTAAAAACCAGTAAAGGTTTAAATACGGGGGGGAAAAAAACGCTACATTTTGACGCATTCGTACTAACATCTAGAAAAACAAATTCACGAGTGTAAATATAACACAAAATACTATAGGGAGGATTTGTAGATTTTGCTTTATTTAAAATTTTGCTGAAAATGCTTCCATACTTAACTTCAGTTGTATTTTAAAGCACACCCTTACTTGAAATAGATTATTTTTAAATTCACATTCAGTATTAAGAATTCTGCATAATAAAAGTATCTGGTATCATCCACCACTGTCCTGATTTAACTTAGTTTGTCCTTTCACTATTTTGATGTATCTATTTTATTTACAGTGAAATTGGCAAGATAAGGGCGAAAACAAAAATAAATGAGAGACCTGTAGAAATTAAGAACCCTTGTGCTCCACAATATTACCCTCTTAAATAAAATAAAAACAGAACAAAACACCACTTTTCCCAGGTTACAATTTTCATACAGCCCTGAAAAAGAAAGGACAAGAAAGGAGAAATCCTTCCAACGTCTAACCTCCTTGGGGGAAGAACTGAGAATAGATGGTCTTGAACGTCTCCTCATCCACCATTCCACTGGGACACTCCTGCTCCAGAGAGGAAGAAAAGGCATACATTAGAAGAATTCAGGTCTAATTCAAGTAAAATAATATTGTTAAAGCACTGAGGAGCGTCTCAACAACCACACTTACATTTTTGAAGCCCCGATACAGAGACTGGAGCTCCTTCCTGGTGAACTTGGTCTGAGCCTGCAGCTGGTCCAGCCCCTCCGGCTGGTGACGCACAGTCGACAGCTCCAAATCGCTGTCGCTGCTGTCTGTGGGAGAAAGAGAGAGACAGAAATGGAAGGATGGATAGACAGACAGGAAGATAGAAGAGCAGAGATGGACGAAGAGGAGGAAAAAGAAGGAGGATGGGGGCAGACATTGAGTGTGTGGATGCAGGTAAACGTTGAGGGAGGGAGGCGTTTATCAGGAGCAGGTGGGAAGAACAAGCAATTTTAGAAAAAAAAAATCAGGCCAAATCAGGGACAAAAACAGAAGAGAAGGTACTTTCTTTATGGCGGAAATGTCACCAAACATGTTTTGTTTTTATCTGTTAGCCTTCTCATTATTAAATTTGAGGAAATCAATCTTTTTACTTACAAATCAAAAACTTAACTGTTGCAGTACACAGTAATTGGTTACAAGTTCACTCACGATAAGAGAAAGCACTGCACAACCGGGTAAAAGGAAACATTAAAAGAGGGACGTTTTTCTTTAAGATAGTATCATATCCATACTCACCATCTTTAGAGAGAGAGAAAAGAGCAAGAGGAGGAGAGAGGGAGTTGATACGAAGATGAAGTGAAAGAGAGTAAATGGAGAAAGTGAAAGTGATAGGAAGAGGAAGAAAAAACAAAGAAAAATAGTCAGTGAGAAGTCTAAGTAGGATAAAGCACTGAGCGGTACAGAGGAAAAATACTCAACTTATATCTGATCAAACCTCCAGCAGAGCAGTGAAATATAATATGCTGTGAAACATAAAGATTAAAAGCCAGCGGAGGGACTTTCTTTAGGGTTCAGTAAACACTGAGACAGTTTAGTGACTTCCTGCACAAAGTGAGCTCGAATCAGCAGATGACGTCTGACCTTCTTCAACACATGAACAATCCCATTTATTAAAAAAAGAAGGCTGTATTTATCCTTTCAAAATAAATTAGCATCAAATGTAATAAGTCATGATCAAACTTTCAGTATATATGATTCATTCTTGACCACGATTCTTCATTGAAAGATCTCTTATCAAGTTGTTTTAACAGCTTTCAATCACATCAGGTTTGAGGCCTCGAGAAAAATCTGGAAAGTGGACAGTGAGTAAACTTTCTAAAGATCTGTCTCTTCGATGATTTTTCGGTGTATGAAAGCTCAAGTGAAATGTTTAAGTAGTTTATTTGTCTCAACATGTATTAACTCAATGCCTCGTATGTCATATCAAAGTTATGATCATGTGAGCTTCAATTAAAATAATTACAAAAAGGCCTTTGAGTAAAAAACTCAGGTTTACTTGATTTGTATAATTTGAATAAAGAAATGGACACCTCACATTAGCGTTCAGTCGTTAACTCTAACAGCATTCAATCAAGAGCAAAGAAACCATATAAACAGGAAGTCAGTCTCTTGTAGCCTAACAAGCAAATTATTTAAGAAACTAAATAATTTGACGAAGTAAAACTTGTATCTTTTGTCAATTATGGCAGTACTTCTTTTCTTTCGTACCAATTATCAGTGCTTGACATGAAGGGATACATGTTTTTGAGTTTCAATTTAGAAAGAGTAAAAGGAAAGTTATGCTAACCTAGCTAACTGATGCATGTAGCTAATGTTGCATGATTTGAGATTTAAAAAAATATATTTAAATCATTATTGAACTGTATCGAGTTTAAGGTCATGTATGTTGACCACATGTTACGTCTTTTACACCTCATTCTAAACAGACTATTCCATTCTTTAATATTTATAATATTAATTTAAAAAAAAAAAATATATATATATCTATATATAGGCTATATATTTAGTTTATGGTAAGATATGTCAACCACAGATTACTTATTTTACACTAAACAGGCATGGTATTAGTAAGCTAACATTAGCCTTGTCAGCTAGTCAACACAACACTGACACCAAGCAGATTCTGGGGTGAATATAAGCAAGAATAAAAACTACAATAAATAACAGTAAAGAGCACATGGTCCAGTTTGAAGTCAGGGACAGCTTGTGTATGAAATCCTGGTGCTATGACAACAAATAGCAAAATGTGTATTTATGCATGGTTAACTAAAGAGTAGACCCATGTCATTTCTCATTCATCACACACTGTTAAATATCATCAATCATAATTTTAAGTCAGTATTATGTTACAAGCAGCCAATGAGATGATTCCGCCATTTAGATATAAAAGGTCTTGAGATTTAACCCTTATGTTTGTCTTTGAAGAACCTTTACATCCGCTTCTACAACTCTCCAGACCTGCTTCAAAAATGATTCAGTATAGGAACAAAAACTTAGCTATAGCCTCTTTACTACATGTCAGCCCCCTCATCTTCCTCATCCTCACCCCTCTTATTGTCACCTCACCTGTCTCAGTGATGTCAATCAGACCCAGCAGGTGCATCAGTTTGAGGAACATGATCACCAGGCAGACGATCCCAACTGTCTGAAGTCCCTCCGTCTCCCACCTCACACTCACCTTCCCCTCTTCTTCTACCTTTTCCTCCAGGATGAGTTTGTTTATTTTCCCCTTTCTACATCGTGAAATAAATGATCTGTACACCTTTCTTACCATCCATCTGTCTCCTTTAGACTCACTCTCTATCCTTCTCTATCCCTTCCTGTCTCAGAAATAGTGTCACTCACCCGTCACTCATTTTCTGTTTCTTCATTTAGCCCTTCCCTTCTGCCTTTTTTTAATTGACTGTCTTTCCCCTCCCTCCTCTCTCTCCCTCTATCCTTTTCTCTCTCACTCTCTTTCAGGGTTTTCTTCACAACTATAAGCAAGGTCTGATGGCCCAACGCAGATTATTGCAAAACATAAAAGAAAAAGTACCTTACAGTCAGGGGATAGAGAAAATAACCGTCCCCCCAAAAAACTGGATCATCACATTCAAACAGCTCTGTGTTCTGATCACATTTATCTAAAGAAAAACTACACAAATTCTGGATGTGAGGATTATGTTTCAGAAAATCCTCCACTCACTGAATTACTGAATTTGTCATCATATATTTCAATAATATAATTAACCTTGAAGGACATTTTTTTTTCATCATAAAAGACAGTAAATAAAACAGGGCACAGGATAGCAAAGATATAAAACAAACAAACTTTTTGTTTTTGTAAATGTGCCATATATTTAACAAGTTTCCTTTAAGTAGTGAGAGGGGATGGTGACAGAGGTCAACAGGTGTCCTGAATCTCATTTTCCCACTAAGCTCTGTGATCCACTTTCTAATTGCGCTCTTTCTCTCCTGGGGTCCGTAGCACAGATTTAATACTGTGTCACACACTCATAATCTTGTAATAAAGTGAAACAGTGAACACACACTCCCTCTAGTGGACATCAAAGAAACATCAGGAGCAGGGACAGGAGATATTGTTCTTAATTTAATGCAAACAAACAACTTAATCCAAAACATAACTTATCACTTACTTATTTCTCCCTGAAGAATCTTTTTTAATATCTAAATCCCATCAAGATAAAATAATGTGCCCAACTTATATTGAAATAACTATTTATTTTTAGTTAAAATGTCAATTATTTTACATGAGTAGTAGTAATATTAACAGACAAACACAGAGAAAGATAGATTTTACTTTTAAAAATCAGTCTTGTTTTTTTTTTTTGTGGATTGGTGTTAAATGTGAAACAGTGACCCACATTTTGCACTGAAATATGCAAAGGAGGCGACAGTACTATTAACTGACGTACTCTCAGAATGGAAAGAGCTCCACCAATAAGCTGCTGGAGGCGTGAGAAACGTCTTCAAATCACTCCCTGCTGCCACTAAAGCTCATTACCGAGAGCACATATGACAGAAGGAGACCTATCAACTCACTGTTTCTTTTATTTGAATTTCGATGAATGGACACTACGAGGGGTCTGACACTGATGTTTAAAGTAAATCAAAAGAAAACAATTCAATGTGTGGAAGGGACAAAATCAAGATCTTTAAAAATCCCTTTCTGTGTGATACTTTCCTGTTGAATATCTGGTTATCAGAGTAAAAATGTATGTTCATAATACAAAACTACTTCTCGGATTCAAAACAAATGACCCTGTGACATCCTGTAAGGTTATCAATCATTGTTCAAGGCTTTTTCAAGTTATTTTCTTAAAAAGTAAGGGATGGAGTAATGTTTCTATCAATCTATGTAAAAAAAAAATCTTTATAAACTTGGTCGTCTGATAAATGATCTATCTGACAAACATTGGTTTAAGTAAAAGAGTGAACAAATAATCTCCTCATTTGTTCCCCATCTCTTTAAAGTATTTATAAATACATCCTTGACAATGTGGAGTACAAAATACCAAACACTGGTGCCAGAGTACCTCAGAATAGGGCTCGTATATCTCTACAGACAAGGCTACTTCTGGGATCAGATGTCGGACAAAAATAGGACCGAGCTGGACTGAACCCAAAATCCACATCAGATCAGAGGAACACTGGAACAACAATCAAAGGTCAGCGGGTTCATTAACCTGGACTTTACCTACATGGGAAAACACAAGTTCCCTACACACTCACACACGCAGATAGAGGAAGATGTTCACTGAGTTTGTGAGGCAACATTAAAACTTATTTTTATGAATGCTGATAATATAAATAATGCATCAAAAAACATATCAGACATTATTTGTGCTGAGTGATAAAGGTTGTCTCATGTACTGATGATGCTCAATGTGGAAAATGTGTGAACACTTACAATATAACCTCCAGACGTGGAGGTGTTGTGGAAGATCTCGTCTAATGATCTCGTCTCATTTAAAACATAACAAGCAAATGTGTGTATATATTCTTTTCTTGATGCAAGACGTCTCCTATTGTAAAGATAATCTCAGTGTTTATGCACTGGAGGTCACACATTTTCTAATTTACACTTGTATGTGTAATTGTATGTCCAGAGCTAAAAAAAAAAAAAAGAGAAGCCAATGCAGACTGCAGTCCTTCAATTGGCCACTTTGAAATGAATTAGTCTTCATTGAGACACATTTTAAAACTCCCCCAACTTTACAAGACTAATAGATTATTTTTACTGTCTTCAGTTGCTTCCTGGTGTTTTATCTTTCAATATTATTGTAATGATCTGCTTGGAAAATAAAGTAAAGTTTCATTGTAATTGAATGGAAAATATATATTTTTTAAATTAGAAGTTGGTTGACAGACAATTAATCACACCAACCAAAATGTTCTGCTTTCCCTTCTCTTATCATTTGAGTTAAATTTATAGTTTAAGGTTTGGGGATGTTCGGAAGACAATCGTAGGCAACCAAAAGGCCAAACCTCTGGCTGTAGAGAACAGATCATTTATGTATTCAGCTCAGTGTGCCTTTTTTTTTTAGGTAAACCTTAATGATTTCAAGTTGATGAACTTGTAAATCCAGAAAAGTACATTGACCTGATGACAAAATTGATGAGGAGGTACAAAGATAGATGAGCAAACTATATGTGTGCACTATTCAAATCGTGTTCCTAGAATTGTATCTTGATGTATCAAATCATACACATCGCATCACATTGATGTGTTTCATTCATACAGAACCATACCTTTCTGTATCATTTAATATGGTATAATTTCAGGGCGCTGGTGGCACAGTGGTTAGTGCGTCAGCCCCATGTGTGGAGGCTATGGTCCTCCAAGCGGGCGGCCCAGGTTCAAATCCAACCTGTGGCTCCTTTCCCGCATGTCATTCCCCACTCTCTCTCTCCTGATTTCCGACTCTATCCACTGTCCTATCTCTCCATTAAAGGCACAAAATGCAAAAATAAATCTTAAAAATGTTCATATCATTGCGTATTGTATTGTACGCTAAATATCTGCTGCCAGGGAGTTAACGAGAAGATGATTGAGCAAATTAGTCCCAGTGGGAGGTGCTGAAGTCATAAAATGGCAGGAATCAGTATGAAGTCACATTAGGAACATTTTTGAGGCTATTGAGGGATGGCCAGTGTCCTTCAGGGTCCTGGAGGAGTTCTCCAGTCTCTGTTTTTAGGTGGCCTCAGAGAAGGCTTGTTCGATAGCGCATGTATAATTAATGTGAAGTAATGCTAGACCGGGGTGTGGGCGCTGCCACAGTGGGCAGGAGGAGGAGGAGGAGGGGGGGGGGGGGGGAGAAGTGGGGAAGAAGATGTGTGTCTTATTGGAGGAACTGAAGATTGGAGAAAATGAGATGAGTGATAAATTATGAAACAATATTACTGCTGTTTTTGTTGAATGTATTACTTTTGATGCTGAGCCATATGAGAAGCACTAATGTGTCGACTGGAGCCTTCCTGCTGTAATTGTCTTGGCACGCTGATGGGCAGGGCACTCTCACTGGCTGGACTCCAGCCCAAAAACTCTGATCAAAGGCTGCAGCATCGTTCAGAGAGATCTGATGGCTCTTTTACAGTCCCACATGTACACAGTGTAGTGGCCGAGTAAGGTTTTACCGAAAATCTCTTAGTGGGCAAATTAAAACATCCCATTAACCTTTCCTCACTGTGACGCCAACACCCCCACAAAGATTTAATGATTGTCAGGAACTGATATTATATTTCCAAATATAAATAAGAAATACAAAATAGTAATATACAGTACTATAGCATTTATATACTGTTGCTTATTTTTGTGTTATTTTTAATTTACTTTCAAATGGAGGGAGAGAGAGAGATGGGTAAAGAGGGGACAGAGTAAGGAGGGATGAAGAGTCAAAGAAAAAACACTATGTGCTTCTGTTGGCAGAATGGCAAACAAAACATTAAAACTAACTTCCCATTTCTGTTTTCCTTCATTGAACTTATATTGTTTATTTTATTGCTCACTTTGTTCTTTTTTTGTAAGGCAATCTTTGACTTATTATCAGGAGAGTGTAATATACAAAAATATTACTTGAGTCAAGAAGTGGAAGAAATGTGGAAATAATGAATCAAAGTACTCAAATCTTTCATCAAATTACAAGTACTCCAATATTTAAATACATGATCCTGGTTGTATATCGTGGTGTCAAGATGCAGAGGGCAAAATGAAAACAGAAAATTATACATAGGTAATATTCACCACCAGCTAAACCCTCATGTATTTTACAACTGCTGGAGAACTGGAGATCAATAAATATAAGCACTATTCATGGAAAACCATCCAAGGGGTTTCTTGGATTGTTTCAGTTGAGATAACTAGTTTATTATTTTAAATGATCAAATTCATTTTAATCAGCAACCAGCGGAATATAAATAGCAGTGGTGTTGGTTAATTATTTCTCCTCGTCATTTTTGCAAAGCGGTGGATGATGGTTGCGTAAGACTTTTGTCAGCTGTGTTTACAAGAAGAGGCTCGACCAAGACATGATATGTCTAAGCAACAACTCTGGCTTGAGTTCCCAGGCTTTTAACGTCAACAAAATCCAAAATGTCAACTTTTCATGAGCTGAGAAAAACAGCCCTGTCGTTTAAATGTCTCGCCTGTTCAGCTAATATCTAAGGAGGTACACTTGTAGGAATTTTTCTTAGTTTATCTTCAAATTTTGAGCTATAACAATATTTGGTCAAGAAATGTGTACAAATGTGTATCACTGGAGTTAAGGAGATAATCCGTTTAACCTCAAATACTTTGCCTGAACCCTCTATCCCTCCTTTTGTAGGATTTTGAAGCGGCGCATGAACATTAAATATTTGGTTCATAACCTATTATGACATTAAACACATATATAATCAATTTGAATTATTGATATATTTGTCGAGAGAATCTACCTGTGTGGTGTGTAAACAGATAATTAATTTACAAAGCTCAGCCATCGCACAATAAAATCTATAATTCATTGATAAATACTATGTTTTATTGAACTCCTAAAATTATCCTTTTATCCTCCATCACATTGTGTCACAAATGTATACAGCGATACAGGGAGGTTTATGTAAAGTATAACTCACTGTCTCAGCGCTAAGCTCCAAGTGTCTGCATTAGAGGGGCCTCAGTGGGGCCCTTACCTTCAAATGAGGACATGGGCTCCAAGATACCAAACTGCTTCAGAACTGCCATGAACAGGATGATGACCACGCCGATGGCAAACAGCTCCATGCCCTGGATCCCCATGACTCTATAGGACAGGAGAGCCCACTATGGGCCAAGCCTGCACAAGACGGTCTTGTCCCAGGGAGACACAGAAAAGAGGCCCGGGCTATCCCCAGGAAAGCTGGGCCAGGAGAGTCAAGTCAACAAGTGTTTGATACAGAGGTGATCAGGGATCAGTCAGGTTGATAAGTGTCTTCATGGGTTTGTGTTCGGCATGAGACCAGGGCCAAGGAGCTGGACGACGGCTGCTCTAATGTCAACACGGATGCTGACGTGGAGAATAGTTTGAAGGCGACATATATGGAAAACCTCCCTCTCTAAACCCACGAGGGAAAACTGGGGTTGTGTCACCGGCCATTTATTACAGAGCATTAAAAAGAGACGTTTACAGTCACTTTTCTCCTGCTCCCGCACTCAGGAGCTCAGGCTGATAAAGACACAAGTTGTTGCTCACCCTCTTAATCCAAACAGCTATTATCAGTCCTCACGTCATAGTTTACACTCAGGGATCACATTTTGGTTTTAGAGGAATACGTCCTTTGGGGAAAGCAAAGAATGTGGTGCAGCCTCTGTGTCCATTTTCAGGATTTTGCACCCATTAGGCTTGAGAAAGTCGAGGCCAGCACAGCGGACTTGTTGAGAAACAGAACATTAGATAAAAAATATCTATGACCTCTCATCTTCCATGCTATACAGGAGTAAGCGTACATTAGCAGGTATCATTAAATAACCCCATTATATGAGCTGACTGCTGGCAGAGTCTGACAACTCAGCTCAGCATCAAAACATACTTTTTCTGCAAGCTGAGGACTATTTGACTTTAGTTTGCGTTACATCTACTCACAATAGAATAAAAAAAAAATGTAAAACAGATTGCCATTGGAGCAAAGCAGAAATGTCCAAAATGTTTTTTAAAGATGACTTATGTGTTGTTAATCACCACCCGTCCATCTTTTCTTCCGCTGTTTGTTTTTCTCTCAGATGAGATTGTATTCCTTAGGTCCACAAAAACCCCCATACAGCAAATAAATCATTTATTTGCAAAAAATAAGTTAAACAAAGGTTTCGCGTTGTTGTCCGATCCGATTCAGTCCACTTCACTGTTTGTCCAAATCCAGCTCCAGATATGGAAGAGTTCGGCTCTGTGGAGAAGGCACTCAGCAGCAGTGTCCAGAGAGGGAAGTCCTGAGAAAGTGAGAGGGGAATGAAACCTCCTCCCCCTGGTGTCTACCTCCTCCACACATACTTTCCCATCACTCCCTCGCTCTCTCTCTCTTTAGCTTCCTCAATGTATCTGTTGCTGCATTGACTTTCACCTTTTCCTTGGAGTGCCCTGTCCTCCTCACCCCCATTCTGTCCTTAATGTGGTCCTTTCTCACTCTTCTCTACTCCTCCTTTTTTACTTTGTCTGTCCATCTGATTCGCCTTTGCTCCTCCCAATCCTCCTCCCTCCATCCCCTCAGTAGTTCTGTAACTTTGGCTAACCACAGACTTTCTCTCCCCCTCTTCTCAATTCCACTCTGTCACTCTCCTGTCACTATCAGTTAATATCAATTAAAAGCTGCTATTTATAAATTAAAAAGGCCATGTACAGATTATGAGACACCAGTTCTCCCGCTCCTCCTTGGCGAAAGAATAAACTATGTGTCTTATTGCAGAACTTTTTGGAACTTTTGAAAATTGTTTTGGGAATCTTTGAATCAATGTTGCACATGAATCATTTCGCGTCACTTTGCGGTTCTTTGGCCAATCAGATCCCAGGGGGTATGTGGTGCACCCTTGGCCACACCTCTAACCACATCTCGTCTTCTGAATGAATAGTTAGGACGTCAATTTACACAAATATGTGTTTGCAAGCAGGTGGGGCACAGGTGGCGCAGTGGTTAGTGCACGCGTCCCATGTATGGAGGCTGTAATCTTTCAAGCAGGCGGCCTGGGTTCAAATCCGGCCTGTGATTTCTGACTCTATCCACTGTCCTATCTCTGTAATAAAGGCACAAAAAGCCCAAAAATAAACCTTCAAAAAATAGTGTTGTGAGCAGGCACATGCTAAAACTGCCTAGCTCATATCAAAAGCAAGGGAAATTGCTTTGTTCTTTAAAAAACGTTGTATTTATTTTCTCTGCGAACTGCAGAGTGAAGTGTTAAGAGCCGGCTGAACATGAATGTATAATGCCTTCAAAACCTTATTTATTGCAGGAAGTGATGTGCAAATAGATAACATGGAAAAATATTATTAGAGTGGGTGAGCAAGAGTGTGTGTATAAATGTAGTTGTGTTCGAAGTCAAAAGAGAATAACTGATGACTCTGCACTTGCTAATGCATCAAGATAAGAAGAGGATCAAAAGTGTGTGTGTGTACCACGTGCGTGCGTGTACGATGTGTGTGTGTACGATGTGTGTGTGTATGTGTGTGTATGTGTGCTAATGCATTGACTCTGTTGGAGTTAGGAGAAACGGATTGGAGGCTGGAGTGAGAGAGATCAATATCTTTGTGGTGAGGCCGCGGTGATGATGACGCCACCCCTTCCTCTTTCTCTGCATTTTACACCAGAAAAATAAAAATAAACGATAATCAATAATAAATGATTAATAAATGAAATCTATTCTTAGATTGTACTTTTACTTTATCTAGAGAGACTCTCAGGTGTCTATATTTACAGTGGAGGAATCACCCTGAAGGTCATATTTACAATTCAGATAGCACTTTGTTGACGAGAGTGGATCAGGTGACAGGCATTTACACACCAAAACACACGTACACACACACACACACACACACCTTACATCACATCATGTGTAGAAATGTGTGCATAATGGTGCTGTGGATCTGTTCTGTTAGTTTAGGGGTCTATTTATGTTCATTTACGTTGGTACGTTTGCTCTTGTGTATCTTGATGCTATATTGTAGACATTGTGGGGTTCACTTTATGCGTGTGTGTGTGTGTGTGTGTGTGTGTGTGTGTGTGTGTGTGTGTGTGTGTGTGGTTGTTCCTCTGAGTAGACCATTAGGACACTAACAGGTTTTTAAAAGGAAGGCTTGGCGTTGCCTGCTGACACAACAGCCAGTAAAAAGGAAGAGAGGACTGCTTCCTCTCAGTCAGACGTATCATCAGCAAAAAACACCTCAAGCCTTCACCACAAGAGAAGTGATATGACGCTCGGCTATGTGGCGATGCGATACTAAAGTACAACGTAGAAGACAACTATTTGCTTTGTGATGTCAGCTGTAGTACTCTTCAGTGTTTAAACAGTGTTACATATAAAACATACAGTATGATCATCTATGTTAAAGGGTGAGTGTCTAAACCTGCAACCACTTCTCTGTATTTTTTTTTTAAATTGCTGATCTAAACGCTGACATTTTTAAGTTGAGAAAGACGACTTTTGATCTTTTAAATAAAAATGATGAGTTCAATAATGAAAAAAGTTATTCATTATGAGTAGAAGTCCTCAGAAAAATACTTAAGGAGCAGCTACAGGATGTACCTCAATCTGTATTTAATTATAGGTTTTAGACTGATTCAAACAGAATAGTAAAGAAACATCGTATGAGTTCATTCTGAAAAGTTTAATGGTCATTTGGAGGATAAGTCTTTTTATTTATTCTCAATTTTTAACATGTTTTGTGATAATTCAACCATGGGAGACAGATATTTTGCACCTCCAATACATGAGTTCATGTTGTCGAAGTTTGTCTTCAAACTTTAAAATTAAATGTTATCCCATACAATGAACTAATAACAAGCTCATATTGGAAAATATTAATAACATAAAAAAATAAAAAATAAATGAACAATACAAATTTTGATTTATTGCCCTGACCAGATGCTGAAACCACACAATAAAAAAATACTTCTGCAACTTCTACATGAGCAAGGATTTTACAGATCATATAAAGCGATGCCTAAGGAGTGTGTACTACTAATATTCCCCCAAATGATCTATGAGTACCACAAATGATGCCAAACAAGCGAGTGAAAGTAAAAAAGGTAACAGAGTGAAATAATGATATAGGGTGAAGATGACGAGAAAAGTGTGAATGAAATGGGTTTTTTTTTTTTAGACCATAGCATTGCCTACCTGAGCGATGGTACCTGGCTGCACTGTGGCCACAGTGAGAGAGACAGCTGGGCCGAGAGAGACGCCTCCTGGCCTCCACAGAGAGAGCGGCCATCACAGCTCCCATAATGTAGCTGAACTACTGACAACAGTGAGGCTAAAAATGCTAACAAGCGGCTCTAAAGTACAACAAGAACAGATCTTAACTTAAAATGACAACACTCGACGATCAATGCTAACAAGGTGCCTTCAAATGTTGAGCTGCTTTAAGTATGGACTTAAACTCTGGAAAATCTCAGCTAAGGAAGAAGGAAGGCAAACGAGCAAAAAGGCTGAAAGTCTGAATTCTGCGCACCAACAAAGGCAACTACCTGGCACTGTGGAAAAGGTGACAGGTGAAACTGTTTTTCTCTGTGTGTGTGTGTGTTCTTGTGTTCTGTGTGCCCATGTGTGTTTTAGGGCTGCATTTAAAAATCTGTTTGAGTTTGGGACAGCACGTGACATTGTGAAAGAGCGAGATAAAAAAGAAGAAAGGATCAAACAGCACAGCAAAGCTTCTGACCTTCCACATCAAACGCCTCCACTTTTCTTTTTTATTTGGCTGTCTGTCTCGCCCCCTTCCTCTCTTCTGATCGTTCTCCACAGAGAAACATAACTCTTACTCTTAGTGCCTCACTTTTAGAAAGACTTCTTGTCTGGTATGCAAACTCCTCATGCTGCATGTGAAACAGAGTCTAACTACATTGGAAAACATAAGGAATTTGGACTGGTCGTTGGAGAGGTGCAAGTTCACCTGCAAGTGTTGTCTTGAGCAAGACAACAAACCCCCAACATTTCAGGGGCACCCCCTATGTCCAGCCCCCTCACTCTAACAACTCTCCATTAAAGCATGTCCATAGGATCCTGGTTGTGCATGTGTACGACTCGGACCTCTGTGTGCGTGTGAGTAGCATTTCTTTCAATAACAGAACACAAATGTAAATGTTATTTATTTGTCTGTAAAATGTAAAATATAATAAAAATGCAGACCAAGTAACTTCTCTAATTATAAAGTAACATCTTAAATCGCTTTAATAAACTGCTTCAGCCAACCTCTTCTTCACCAAACCCAAATATTTAGTTATCTATCTTAAAATACAAAGTAAGCAGAACTATTCACATAATTACACACAAAATGAAGAACATGCAAAGATGTCATCTGCAGCCCTATGCTACACAGTAATTTCTCCAGCAGCCTTGCATAACTCCTAGGATCACTAGAGGGCGCTAAACAGCAAACAAAACAGCAAACAACACACCACCGGGAGACAAGCTTAGCCCCATTCACAATCAGAGATGAACGAGAACGAAATGAAACCTGAGTGAAACAGATCAAATTTATACGACTATTCTAAGATAAGCTTACTCAGCTGTGAATCAAGAGGTGAATACTATACGCTTTTGTTGTTGAAATGATTGATGGGGAACAACTAATACATGGAGAAAACAACCACGAAGAAATATGATACAAAAGGTTTGCAGCACAAACATGTTCTGGGTAAATCTGTGCCATGTACACATGCACACAGTGAATTCCTTCATGTATTTCTTAATGTATTCATGAACAGCACAGAGCCGGCTGATCAAACAGGGAGCCTCCAGATAGCTGATATTCCCTCCATTTATTTTATTACTTCCATTATTCTTTGGCTTCAAACTCAAGGGACTGAAGATGAAAACTTTTGTCTTCTTTGTGCTCAAAAAACGTTCGGCTCCACAACACAAGGCCTCTGCACCAAATCTTAATATAAAGCTGGTCATTAGGGAGGAAAGATGGCGGCTTCCTCAGTATTTTCGTATTTTCCCACTCTCTGCCTCATCAACTCCTTGATATGTTCCAATTAAAACCAAACCCAGCCTCACGTCTATGTGAGATAATCCTCTTCTTTTTTCCTTTTTAAACCCACTTCAGCCGGACAGGTTCAAAGCGGTGTGAAACTCAGCTGTGTAATTAAAACAGGTTTCATATTTTAAAGCTGTTTTTTCAACTCTTACTCTGCCCTGAATATTGATTTATTTCTGTACTTTCTCTTTCACTGAAAACCTTACCTGAGGAAGACTAACTGGCTGGAAATAGTGTCCAAAGAACAAAAACAAAGCAAGAGGTAAGCAAGGGTGTGATTATCCTCCGGAGAGAAAATGTATCCTCAAGTTTCCTGTCATCTCTCAGAAGAGGACAGACACTGCACCCTGAGGTGCCCTCACATACCTCAGGTGCATCTGGGACAAAGGAAACAGTGGGGGATAGCAGACAGAGTGGTACTGATGAGACAGGA